TCCAGACAGGTGAGCCGGGGTGGTGAGGAGAGGAGGATGGTGTGCCGCTCGTCATCCCCTCTGAAAATAGAGATGACAGTAGATACAGTACCCCCCCTTATCCAGTGCTACTACATCATCTAGTTCCCTTGGCTCTCTTCTAGGCCTCCTCACGCCCCCTGTCTCTGTTCCTCTATCGATCGACTATGTCCTGTCTACCTAATGCTCTACTGAGTTATCCAAGACTGTTCTATTCCTACTTCTCTGATCTTCCTAGCTAGCGCCTTGGTTTTGCATACATAAAATAATGCCCAATTGGCCATTTTTATTTTATTTTTATTTTTTAAATGACTGATTTAATGAATTGTCTGCATCGGGACGTTTTAAACAAACATTGAAAGCTTATGATTACAATTATATTGAGTCAACTAGCATTGACAGAGGGAAGCCATTTTAGTTACTCCTCTCATAGACAGATGTGGTATGGTAGCACGTTACAGGGAGTGACTATATGTTTGCTCATTTTGTTAAACTTTTACTATGGGTTTGCCATATCTTGTTGACTTCTCAGTGTTCCGCTGTTAAGCCTACTCCATCCCTATTTGAGGTGGGAAATGTGTGTTGACTTTATTTGGTGTCTGAACTTTATCTTCAATCACTTACTTCACTGCTAATCTTGTACGACTGTGAATCTTGATTTTTATATATTATGTACAGTACAATCTGTATGAAATTATTTTCAACTTTCATGATGATTAATGGTAATAAAGGGTTTTCTTTGGTTTGATGGGGGGGGGAGAATGTGTTGTGAGGAAAGATTACCCTCTCCTGGCTGAGGAGGGTGGTTGTGAGGAAAGATGACCTCTCCTGGCTGAAGTGACGAAGGGTAAAGATGACCTCTTCTGTTCTGTAATTATGGGTTCACTTCAGATTTGACAATTTTAATCACAAAATTGACGATGAATTATATATTTCCTAAAATATGTTCCCAGCTACCTATCCACTCTTGACTTGAGTATGAAATGACATACAGTAAGACTAACATCGCCTCACCTTTTGCCCTTTTGGCCCGAACATGTAGAGATCAGAGTCCTGTTGCTTGGTAGAGCACACTGACCTGACCAGAGACATGGACGATTATGACAGTTGGTTCTGTTTCTTTCTGGCTTCCACCATCTGTTTGCAGATCAGAGAATGCTGTGTAGGGGACAAAACCGTTGAAAAGTAACATTTGATGAACACTTGTGTAAATGTTTTCTGCTGTTTAAAAAAAAGAAAAAAAAAAGTATATAAATAAAATGTCAACTTGAAGAATCTTCCCTAGTTGTCGTCATTTTAGTGCTCCTACTTCCATTAACACCTACAAATCCAATGACATTTATTAGCTGTTATGAAGACATTGACGGTCATTTGGAATTTGAGATATTTCTATTCTCTTTTCGCACCAAAAGGGGGGCATTTTAAGTTGACAATGACCATGCCTTTTAAAATGGGGCTTGTGGTCTTTATATTAGCGGTGATTTTACTGCAACATTTTGTGGGCTTTTATGAAATAGCAGACCTGTAGAAAAACACATCTGCCAGTCTAAGCCCCTGTGCCACCTGAGGCTGTTAGCACATGAACGATAACGGGAGGAATGTGGAGGATATTATTATTTTTTATAGCAAAATCATTCCTTTTTATTGAACAGATTTTCTTACCTGCAAACAGATACAGGTCATACATAGCTATTAAAAATATCACCTACTCAGACCGTTATTACTGTTCCAACTGGCTGATAGTAATAATGGTCTGACTAGGCGATTATTTTTAAAAGCTAGGTCATACAGATCAAATCAAATTTTATTTGTCACATGCTTCGTAAACAACGCTAAGAGAAAGAAAATAGAGAAATAATAGAACAGTAAAACACGTAATAATAAATACACAATGAGTAATGATAACTTAGCTATATACACTGGGTACCAGTACTGAGTCGATGTGCAGGAGTACGAGGTAATTGAAGTAGATATGTACACATAACCAGTCTTATGGCTTGGGGGTAGAAGCTGTTCAGGGTCCTGTTGGTTCCAGACTTGGTGCATCGGTACCGCTTGCCGTGCGGTAGCAGAGAACAGTCTATGACTAGGGTGGCTGGAATCTTTGACAATTTTTAGGGCCTTCCTCTGACACCGCCTGGTATAGAGGTCCTGGATGGCAGGGAGCTCGGCCCCAGTGATGTACTGGGTCTTCCTCTGACACCGCCTGGTATAGAGGTCCTGGATGGCAGGGAGCTCGGCCCCAGTGATGTACTGGGCCTTCCTCTGACACCGCCTGGTATAGAGGTCTTGGATGGCAGGTCATTGACTTCACAGGCTAATGGAAGAAGAGGCATTGCTAGTGTGCTGTCAGTCAGTGGATTGAAAGCAACACTTTTGTAAATTAAATGGTACTGTGAAATAACGTTTTAGTTTGAATTACAAATTAAAAGATCATTTATTTATATTTATGTTAATACTGGCCCTGTGTAGCTCAGTTGGTAGAGCATGGCGCTTGCAATGCCAGGGTTGTGGGTTCGATTCCCACGGGGGGCCAGTATGAAAAATGTATGCACTCACTAACTGTAAGTCGCTCTGGATAAGAGCGTCTGCTAAATAACTAAAATGTAAATGTTAAGGAGCAGCATCCACATATCCTTAATTAAATCAAACAAACCACTCAGCAGCAGTCTGTCAAGGTTATCTGGCTTGAATCTCAAGGACATTTTAATATTCCATTGAGTAAATGCATGGCAGACCAGCAAACTGCTGAAACGTTATTACAGATCACGATGACTCATTTGTGATGTCTATCTTGGTTTGCCACTGTCAATCAGATAGTTGCTAGGCTGAGACATCTGTGGAGGACAATTCAGGTAGAGATCCCTCATTGAGACATACAGGACCCCTCCCAAAACGCCTTAGGCGTGTTCTTGAGTCTGCAAGTAAAGCCATTGCAACATGAACAATGTACTATTACTCAAGGAGTAAGAGGTTACTTCCTGAGTTCACTGGAGTCCCCTTAAAAACATTGTGTTGTTGGCTGACCAATGACCTACAGTCCATATTCAGTGAACATTTTAGTATTTGGAGGAATGGCCTTCCTGCCAGGTACCATAGGATCGCCTTTTTCAATAATGTCTGTGCTTGGATAAAAAAAGCTTTTTTTAATGGCATGCACTTAAACCTATGAGATATTTCTATTATCTTTCTGTATTTGTCTTTCTTAAGGCAGGAAGAACCCTCTGATCTGGATGAAAAGGTCCCTGATGTGTCTTTTTCTCTCTCCCGCTTCTCTTCCAGTGCTGCAACGCTGAAGGGCTGCTGACGGGTCCTTTAATCCTAACACTGCCATTGGTTGCGAGACTGTCGGACGGAAGGACGTGTCCAGAATTGATGGCGACACGTCATGGACATAATTATTTTTTATTTAAGTATCGGAAGAAGGAACATTTATATATTTATAATGAATAGCAGACCTACTCCTCCGGGCCTATCCATCGGATTTGTTTTGAGCAGGCGTCCAGTTCCGCAAGCATGTGACCTTAGTTTGAGTGAAGACATCTGCAGTAGACGAGCACACGTGGGTTCTCTGACTGTTATTGATTACATTGAATACACACGTTGTGACAGGACACAGGATTTTGCAGGGTTTTATAGTGCGTTGATCAGTGATCTTGAAATGCAAAGATAAGAAGAGAGCTTTGGGCCAATAACAGAAAGGTTGCTTGTTCGAATCCCCGAGGCGACTAGGTGAAAAATCTGTTGATGTGCCCTTGAGCAAGGCCGTTAACCCGAATTGCTCCTGTAAGTCGCTCTGGATAAGAGCGTCTGCTAAACGACTCAAATGTAAAAATAAAAATAAAAAAAGGAATAAAAACAATACTATGTATAAAAATAATAATAATGCAATAAAGATTGCATGTGCTATGGTATTACAGTGCAGTTGCAGAAGACTGGGTTTTGTTGTGCAGATTCCACCCGCCCCGCCCCGCCCCGTTGTCTCAGTCTCTGCCACAATCTTATATCAGCTCCTGTTATTCCACAGTGAGCTACCCGATGAGATACGAGCAGCCTTAGGGCACGATTCAATCCGTATTGCTGAAGTCCAGTGTTTATAACGCGATTAACATTTAGTAATGCGGTCTCCGCTAACGCGGGAACATTGCCTTTACATTTCTATCTATGTAGCGCAGCTCTTCACGGATTGAATTGAGCCCTTAAGAGGTTTGCTGAACACCTCCAAATGTCTAGACTGTTCCTGGGGAGCTGGAGTGTTGCAGTACTTGAGATGTGTCGTCTACAGTTGACAGTCAAATACAGGAAAACAAAGATGGCTCCCCTGCTCAGTGTCATGCACACTTAACTGACTTTCACACCGTCTTTCACCTTCCCTTGTTCTCTCACCCTCATCGGAGGTTATGATGACGTATGAAATTAAAATGTGCAAATTTAAGCATACATGTCATTTTCCTTGCCAGCTGTCCCCCCTCCCTTCTCTAGGGTCAACCCAACCTACTTCTTCCTCCCCGAGTTCCCCCCTCACACCAAGACACATAGGGCCAGTTGACTGGACCCTGGAGGCCACTTTGTGATACAGGCCGGATTGGGGATTCCAAAAGGGAAACGCCCAGTCAGTCAGGAGCAGCCGGAGGCCACAGTGACTGAATCAGCTGTGGCTCATCTTTCTCGTGTACATATATGCGTTTCAATACAATCAAATAATTTCTTGACTAAACATACGACTTGACTGGTGGGTTGTGGGAAATCCTGTTTTGTTACTACTGTATCTGTATATGTCTTAAAATCAGTAAAATTTGCTGTTTGCCTTTGTACTTGTTGTGTGAGTATTGTATTCTATATTGTACTGTACTTCGCCATCCTCCTGAATATTTAAGTAAATGAAAATGGCCTCCACGAAGTAGTTAATCTTTTAATAAAATGTAACAACTACACTATGGCCCTGTACACACCGAGGTTGTACAACTGATGTACAACCCATTTGACAAAATGGTGTGATACCACATATTCTTGAGAAGTTGTCAAATGTGTTGTACATCAGTTGTGTAACCTGAGTGTTTACAGGCCAGTGACACTTTCAATCCCGACATTAAAGAAGTGGCAAATGAAATCGCTCCGTATAAAAACAATGACAACGCAGCAAAGTAACAGTCACTGGATCATTTAATGGCTCTTTCAGACTGTTAGACCGTGCACCATCTCTCACACACACACACACACAATCTTATTTAACCATGAAAGACTTGTCTTTTGGATTTCAAACGGATCCCATTCAGACCTCTGACACACCAGTGGAGGCTCCTGACTGTCAGTCTCTTAGCTCTGAGGATGGGGTGGCCAAGCCAGGTGTGACGACGGCTCTCAGACAGGCTCCTCGTGCTGTTATCTGTTGTTATTAAGATTCTGAACAAAGTTGACAGAGTAGGATCCAGTGCCTGAATCCTGGTTTACCTGGAAGTTTGATGTGGACAGACCAAATGGCCGCAGGAACATATTGCCCAAGTCCTTCAGTTTGCCTAAGGGACAGATAGATAGGGAAAGATATTAAAAGCTAAATCATGACAAAAACGGCGATGAAAACATTTAAGTCAAATGAGAGAATACTCCAATACACTGGATGCTTAGCTATGTTCTACTCCACAAACTTAGTACATTAGAACTGAGCAGTTTTCTCCAGCACAGCTCCAAGACTCTTAATGCAGTCAAATGAATAGGAAATGTTGGTTAAAGAGCCTCCCTCCCTACACACTGCGTTGTGGTCAATTTCAATTCCAAGCAGTTGATGGTGTTCCCCACTCGCAGCTTCGTGAGTAACAGCTGGGTCCACACAACCTTATACTTGACCATGATGGAACAGAACCAGCCCAACAGAACCAGCCCAACAGAACCAGCCTAACACTTCTGTTATTTTAGGACCACCCTCACCTGCCAACAATCTGATTTAAACAGATCACAGGGCACCATTCAGTGTTTTTTTTGCTCGTCAGTGAATGTACTTTAGTCTTTAAAATCAAGTTGTAGAAACATCTCAAGGATGATCAATGGAAAAAGGATCTGAGCTCAATTTTGAGTCTCATAGCAAAGGGTCTGAATACTTGGTATTCGTTTTAGATTTTTAATACATTTGCTAACATTTCTAAAAACCTGTTTTCGCTTTGTCATTATGGGGTATAGTGTGTAGATTGAGGAGGATTTGTATTTATTTAATCCATTTTAGAATAAGGCTGTAACGTAACAAAACGTGGAAAAAGGGAAGGGGTCTGAATACTTTCCCGAATGCACTGTACTTCAGTCTTTGAAATGTTTTCATGGGGGTGCAATCTATACAAAACGAGAAAAGCAGTTGGTGAAAAATACAATGGATCTCATACCCATCATCTCTTCCTTCAGCTTCTCATTTCGCTCGTGGATCTGTTGTGGAAGCCGCTGCACAGAGGAGAGGGAGATAAAAAATGTCAGTCAGGGTGAATGACTAACCATGTGCCTGGTTGCCAGTAGTCGGTGGTCCCAACGTTTCACACAACATTTACATTTACATTTACGTCATTTAGCAGACGCTCTTATCCAGAGCGACTTACAGTTAGTGAATACATTTTTTTTTTTATACTGGCCCCCCGTGAAACCGGGATTCAACCGTGAAGAGCACACTTCTCCAGCGTACCAGTAGCCATCGAAGGTGAACATTTGCCCACTGAAGTCGGTTTCGACGCCAAACTGCAGTCAGGTCAAGACCCTGGTGAGGACGACGAGCACGCAGATGAGCTTCCCTGAGACGGTTTCTGACAGTTTCTGCAGAAATGTATCGTTTGTGCAAACCCACAGTTTCATCTTGCAGTCAGCATGCCATTCCTGCAGTCAGCATGCCAATTGCACGCTCCCTCAAAACTTGAGGCATCTGTAGCATTGTGTTGTGTGTGACAAAACTGCACATTTTAGAGTAGCCTTTTATTGTTCCCAGCACCTGTGTAATGATCATGCTGTTTAATCAGCTTCTTGATATGCCACACCTGTCAGGTGGATGGATTATCTTGGCAAAGGAGAAATGTTCACTAACAGGGATGTAAACAAATTTGTGCGCAACATTTGAGAGAAATAAGCTTTTTGTGTGTATGGAACATTTCAGCTCATGAAACGTGGGCCCAACACTTGAACATGTTGCCTTTATATTTTTGTTCAGTATTATTAACTGTGGAGTTCTTGGGAGGAGTTGATTCTCTGGTATGCGTGCGTGTGTGGGCCGGGCCGGGGGAGATAAGACAAGAGTATTCTGAGACCATTTAGTATCAGATGGTGTATTTCAGATGAAAGGGAGCAGAGCCTCTATTCCAGGCCAGGCCGTGCTGCCCACGTCCCAAATGACCTTAGTGCACTAATAGGGAATAATAGAATGCCATTTGGCCCGCGGTCGCTGTGAGCTTGTGTTGTGTAAGCCTCCACCTCATGGCTACATTAGTAGGAGCTGCTGCTCGCCTCCTGTTGTTATGCAGGGCCTCATTCAGGAATCAGGAACATGGATACAGTCAACCACAAACTACAGCACAGACAGCCTCATTGAATGGAAAGAAGAAGAAAAACACGTCTTTGTCCAAGACATTTCAGTTTGCCTCGCATCTATATTGCATGTTAAACAGTTATGCATTATTTATTTTTTTGATTAATTTCAAACCATCGCTATTAAACAAGCAAGATCGATGAAATGGTTTAATAACTGGGCCTCACATCAAACTCTTGATTATTATGGATTATAATAACTCTTGGGGTTTCGCCAAAGGCAACCCTAACAACATTCATTCAATGTTGGTAAGCAAGAAGAAAATGTAAAACCAACCCTTACACAATACTGTTCATGTGTTAATAACTCTAACATGAAATGTGCATTTACTGAAGTTACTTTTTTATTTTATATACACACAGTACCAGTCAAAAGTTTGGACACACCTACTCATTCAAGAGTTTTTCTTTATTTTTACTATTTTCTACATTATAGAATAATAGTGAAGACATCAAATCTATGAAATAACACATACGGAATCATGTAGTAACCAAAAATGTGTTAAACAAATCAAAATATATTTTCTATTTGAGATTCTTCAAATAGCCACCCCTTTGCCTTGATGACAGCTTTGCAGAGTCTTGACATTCTCTCAACCAGCTTCACCTGGAATGCTTTTCCAACAGTCTTGAAGGAGTTCCAACATATGCTGAACACTTGTTGGCTGCTTTTCCTTCACTCTGCCATCCCAAACTATCTCAATTGGGTTGAGGTCGGGGGATTGTGGAGGCCAGGTCATCTCATGCAGCACTCCATCACTCTCCTTCTTGATAGTCCCACTAAGCCCAAACCAGATGGGATGGCGTATCGCTGCAGAATGCTGTGGTGGCCATGCTGGTTAAGTGTGACTTGAATTCTAAATAAATCACAGACAGTGTCACCAGCAAAGCACCCCCACCCCATAACACCTCCTCCTCCATGCTTTACGGTGGGAACTACACATGCGGAGATAATCCGTTCACCTACATCGCGTCTCACAAAGACACAGCGGTTGGAACCAAACTCTCAAATTTGGACTCATCAGACCAAAGGACAGATTTCCACCGGTCTAATGTCCATTGCTCGTGTTTCTTGGCCCAAGCAGGTCTCTTCTTCTTATTGGTGTCCTTTAGTAGTGGTTTCTTTGCAACAATTCGACCATGAAGGCCTGATTCACACAGTCCCCTCTGAACAGTTGATGTTGAGATGTGCCTCTGACTTGAATTCTGAAGCATTTATTTGGGCTGCAATTTCTGAGACTGGTAACTCTAATGAACTTATCCTCTGCAGCAGAGGTAACTCTGGGTCTTCCATTCCTGTGGCGGTCCTCATGAGAGCCAGTTTCATCATAGTGCTTGATGGTTTTTGCGACTGCACTTGAAGAAACTTTCAAAGTTCTTGAAATTTTCCGGATTGACTGACCTTCATGTCTTAAAGTAATGATGGACTGTCATTGCTCTTTGCTTATTTGAACTGTTCTTGCCATAATATGGACATGGTATTTTACCAAATAGGGCTATCTTCTGTATATCCCCCTACCTTATCACAACAAAACTGATTGGCTCAAATGCATTAAGTAGGAAAGAAATTCCACAAATTAACTTTTAAGAAGCCACACCTGTTAATTGAAATGCATTCCAGGTGACTACCTCATGAAGCTGGTTGAGAGAATGCCAAGAGTGTGCAAAGCTGTCATCAAGGCAAAGGGTGACTATTTGAAGAATCTTAAATATAAAATATATTTTGATTTGTTTAACACTTTGGTTACTACATGATTCCATATGTGTTATTTCATAGTTTTGATGTCTTCACTATTATTCTACAATGTAGAAAATAGTAAAAAATAAAGAAAAACCCTGGAATGAGTTTCCAAACTTTTGACTGGTACTGTGTATATATATATATATATATATATATATATATATATATATATATATATACAGTGGGGAAAAAAAGTATTTAGTCAGCCACCAATTGTGCAAATTCTCCCACTTAAAAAGATGAGAGAGGCCTGTAATTTTCATCATATGTACACGTCAACTATGACAGACAAATTGAGAAAAAGAAATCCAGAAAATCACATTGTAGGATTTTTAATGAATTTATTTGCAAATTATGGTGGAAAATAAGTATTTGGTCACCTACAAACAAGCAAGATTTATGGCTCTCACAGACCTGTAACTTCTTCTTTAAGAGGCTCCTCTGTCCTCCACGCGTTACCTGTATTAATGGCACCTGTTTGAACTTGTTATCAGTATAAAAGACACCTGTCCACAACCTCAAACAGTCACACTCCAAACTCCACTATGGCCAAGACCAAAGAGCTGTCAAAGGACACCAGAAACACAATTGTAGACCTGCACCAGGCTGGGAAGACTGAATCTGCAATAGGTAAGCAGCTTGGTTTGAAGAAATCAACTGTGGGAGCAATTATTAGGAAATGGAAGACATACAAGACCACTGATAATCTCCCTCGATCTGGGGCTCCACGCAAGATCTCACCCCGTGGGGTCAAAATGATCACAAGAACGGTGAGCAAAAATCCCAGAACCACACGGGGGGACCTAGTGAATGATCTGCAGAGAGCTGGGACCAAAGTAACAAAGCCTACCATCAGTAACACACTACGCCGCCAGGGACTCAAATCCTGCAGTGCCAGACGTGTCCCCCTGCTTAAGCCAGTACATGTCCAGGCCCGTCTGAAGTTTGCTAGAGTGCATTTGGATGATCCAGAAGAGGATTGGGAGAATGTCATATGGTCAGATGAAACCAAAATAGAACTTTTTGGTAAAAACTCAACTCGTCGTGTTTGGAGGACAAAGAATGCTGAGTTGCATCCAAAGAACACCATACCTACTGTGAAGCATGGGGGTGGAAACATCATGCTTTGGGGCTGTTTTTCTGCAAAGGGACCAGGACGACTGATCCGTGTAAAGGAAAGAATGAATGGGGCCATGTATCGTGAGATTTTGAGTGAAAACCTCCTTCCATCATCAAGGGCATTGAAGATGAAACGTAGCTGGGTCTTTCAGCATGACAATGATCCCAAACACACCGCCCGGGCAATGAAGGAGTGGCTTCGTAAGAAGCATTTCAAGGTCCTGGAGTGGCCTAGCCAGTCTCCAGATCTCAACCCCATAGAAAATCTTTGGAGGGAGTTGAAAGTCCGTGTTGCCCAGCGACAGCCCCAAAACATCACTGTTCTAGAGGAGATCTGCATGGAGGAATGGGCCAAAATACCAGCAACAGTGTGTGAAAACCTTGTGAAGACTTACAGAAAACGTTTGACCTGTGTCATTGCCAACAAAGGGTATATAACAAAGTATTGAGAAACTTTTATTATTGACCAAATACTTATTTTCCACCATCATTTGCAAATAAATTCATTAAAAATCCTACAATGTGATTTTCTGGATTTTTTTCCCTCATTTTGTCTGTCATAGTTGACGTGTACCTATGATGAAAATTACAGGCCTCTCTCATTTTTTTAAGTGGGAGAACTTGCACAATTGGTGGCTGACTAAATACTTTTTTTCCCCACTGTATATATATATATTCTTTTTTTATTTGACCCCCTTTTTCGATCTTGTCTCATCGCTGCAACTCCCCAATGTGCTCTGAAGGCGAAGGTCGAGTCAAATAAAGCCAAACCGCGCTTCTTAAAACCCACCCGCTTAGCCCAGATGCCAGCCGCACCAATCTGTCGGAGGAAACACTGTTCAACTGACAACCGAGGTCAGTATGCAGGCGCCCGGCCCGCCACATGGAGTCGCTAGAGCGCGATGAGCCAAGTAAAGCCCCCCCCCCACCCCCCGGCCAAACCCTCCCCTAACCCGGACGACGCTGGGCCAATTGTTCGCCGCCCTATGGGACTCCCGATCACGGCCGTTGTACTACAGCCCGGGATCGAACCCGGGTCTGTAGTGATACTGCACCGCTCGGGAGGCGAAGAGTGACTTTTAAATGTAAGCCTTCTCTGTTCTGCTAACAATTATCTTAAGAGTTAAATGTCAGTGGTTGCTACTAACCATGCAGGCCTCTCTGGCAGTAGGCAGGTCGGGGTCTTTCTCCAGAGCAGCCTTGTAGTCTTCCAAAGCCTCATCCAGCTTGTCTGTTTTCTCATAGAGCTCTGCCCTCCGCAGGATCGCCCGCATGTAGTTTGGGTTCAACTCGATGGCTGGAGGTGACGAAACAAGGACACATGTTCAGAGTGCTAGTTATGTATTGATGGGTATGAATAATAAAAACGGCATTCATTCAAATCTGCACCTGGTGTTGGTGATTTTGATAATAGCAACTGTAATTTAAGGAGATACGCCTGGTTTGGTTGAACAGAATTATATATATATATATATATTTTTTTTTTAACACAGTGTTCTGGAGTGGGAAGTGTGTCTGCTTCACACACAATACACTGGGAAAGAAGCGCACCATGTCCCAGACAGTTCAATCGTCTGGCAAGCCATGTCCTAGACAGTTCAATAGTCTGGCAAGCCATGTCCCAGACAGTTCAATAGTCTGGCAAGCCATGTCCTAGACAGTTCAATAGTCTGGCAAGCCATGTCCTAGACAGTTCAATAGTCTGGCAAGCCATGTCCCAGACAGTTCAATAGTCTGGCAAGCTATGTCCTAGACAGTTCAATAGTCTGGCAAGCTATGTCCTAGACAGTTCAATAGTCTGGCAAGCCATGTCCTAGACAGTTCAATAGTCTGGCAAGCCATGTCCCAGACAGTTCAATAGTCTGGCAAGCCATGTCCTAGACAGTTCAATAGTCTGGCAAGCTATGTCCTAGACAGTTCAATAGTCTGGCAAGCCATGTCCTAGACAGTTCAATAGTCTGGCAAGCCATGTCCCAGACAGTTCAATAGTCTGGCAAGCCATGTCCCAGACAGTTCAATAGTCTGGCAAGCCATGTCCTAGACAGTTCAATAGTCTGGCAAGCCATGTCCTAGACAGTTCAATAGTCTGACAAGGTAGAATTAGAACACAGATGTAATAGACTCACCCTTTGTGCAGTCAGCGATGGCTTTCTCATGCTTATCCTATTAGGGGGAAAAGGTGTTTTAAACTCAGCAGTTATCATTTTGTTGTGTATTTGTTTTGTTGGAAAGGTTATGACAAGATGACATCAATTCCAAATGGCCTGTTGATGTCTTGACACGAGCCATCTGAATAACCAGGTGGAATTGTGTTTGCCAGTCAAACCTATACTAAGCTTATGTAGTATGTGGCTACAGTAGAGTACCACTAGGGGTCACTAGAGATCTGTCTCTTTGACCCACCCTCTTGGGACATCTGGTGGTTTACTCAGTGCTTAATTTGAGCCTGCTGGAACAGGATCCGGCACATCTCCATTTTGGACTGTTTAGTTCCGGAACCTATTTGACCGGATCCGGTACCTCTCGTGGCATGAAAAATAATGTTCACTTTTTGCAATGTAAAAATTTGAATGAAAGAGATCAAAGGTCATTCGAGTTGCCTCTTTGTTAATTCTCCCCCAAAAACGTCATGTGAAAAAGTAGATTTTCCCCCCAGGCCAGATATTCTAAGAGTTGATTGGGGTTGGGCCGGCCCGGGCTTAAGGTTTGCGCAACATTGTAACTAACCTGTTTGAGACCAACAAGCGGACGTGGCTGTGTGAGAAGCACGCCTGTATCTCTCACTGAACTAGAATGAGATTCACTTTATATGATTTTTCTCCCTCTTGCCGCTCTGATAGACATTTATTTCCTTATAGAATCATATAAAGGGTTCTGAAGGAGCTATATAAAGGGTTCTGAAGGAGCTATATAAAGGGTTCTGAAGGAGCTATATAAAGGGTTCTGAATAACCTACTACACCATGAGAAGGCCTATAATTTGTCTGCAGAGGATCAATAGCTTCTTTAAAAAATTTCCTAGCTGTGGATTGTGTGTAGCCCAATAACAAGGCATAGCCTAGTCGGGAACGCGCAGCAAATATGTCAGTGAACAAACCACACGCAGACAAAATATTTCAAATACAATCGCGGGAAAACACAGGTTGGAAAGCAAATGGCTCCTGCTGAAAAGAGAAAACGAATCCGTATACTGTAGGCTACCAAAATATTTGATCAACATTCAACAGTAGAGGCTGCTGACGGGAGGACGGCTCATAATAAATGGCTGGAATGGAGTGTAATGTCTGGAATGGAGTGTAATGTCTGGAATGGAGTGTAATGTCTGGAATGGAATGGTTTCAAACATGAAAATCACGTGTTTCCGCTACCGTTCGATTCACTCCATTCCGGTCATTATTATGAGCCATCCTCCCCTCAGCAGCCTCCACTGACTTTCAAATATTGTTTTACATTTACATTACAAAGTAAAACAAGAGAGAGAGAGTCTTTTGGCACAAGCGCATCAGCCATCACCAGCGGTTGAGCTGCGCATCATTGGGTGAGTCAGTAAAATTGAAAAGCATTTTTAAGACTATAATTTCATATTGTAGCCTACAATATGTCTCCACACACCTAGGCCTAGGCTATTGCTGGATTCAAGAGAAGGTCGTTTTTATTGATCACAGATTCTGTCAGTGTCTAAGTAAGGTCCAGTAAGCACTGGGTCTACTTTATACAATTGTGCCATAAAATGTAGACTTCAGCCATAGCTGTCTGACACTGAAATTCAGGAGAACTCTTGGAGGGTTATAACTACCCAACTAGATGATCTCAAATAGGTCCTCAGAGTTCCCCACTTGGTTAAGTTGAAATGTTGCTAGCTACCACTCTTACCAGGTGCAGGCGGGCAGCAGCACGGTTAGAGAAGAGAATAGCCCTCTCCTTGCTGTAACACACGGGGCATAATCCTAAAGCTGCGGTGTACGACTCCTCTGCCTCAGTGTGCTCTGGGAAGATATGAAGAAGTGTCAGTCAATTATCCATCCAAGTAGGCCTTGCTGCTGGTGCACACATGCAAACAGTAGACAGTGCATTCCGAAAGTATTCAGACCCCTTGACTTTTTCCACATTTTGTTACGTTACAGCCTTATTCTAAAATTGATTAAATTGTTTTTTTTCCCCCTCATCAACCTACACACAATACCCCATAATGACAAAGCAAAAACAGGTTCGTAGACATTTTTGCAAATGTATTAAACAAATAACAACTGAAATATGGCATTTACATACAGTACCAGGCAAAAGTTTGGACACGCCTACCAATTAGGCCTTTATGATAGAGCGGCCAGACGGAAGCCACTCTTCAGTAAAAGGCACATGACAGCCCGCTTGGAGTTTGCCAAAAGGCACCTAAAGGACTCTCAGACCATGAGAAACAAGATTCTCTGGTCTGATGAAACCAAGATTGAACTCTTTGGCCTAAATGCCAAACGTCACGTCTGGAGTAAACCTGGCACCATCCCTATGGTGAAACATGGTGGTGGCAGCATCATGCTGTGGGGATGTTCTTCAGCAGCAGGGACTGGGAGACTAGTCAGGATCGAGGGAAAGATGAACGGAGCAAAGTACAGAGAGATCCTTGATGAAAACCTGCTCCAGAGCACTCAGGACCTCAGACTGGGGCGAAGGTTCACCTTCCAACAGGAAAACGACCCTAAGCACACAGACAAGACAACGCAGGAGTGGCTTCGGGACAAGTCTCTGAATGTCCTTGAGTGGCCCAGCCAGAGCCCGGACTTGAACCCGATTGAACATCTCTGGAGAGACCTGAAAATAGGGATGGTGCCAGGTTTACTCCAGACATGACGCTTGGCATTCAGGCCAAAGAGTTCAATCTTGGTTTCATCAGACCAGAGAATCTTGTTTCTCATGGTCTGAGAGTCCTTTAGGTGCCTTTTGGCAAACTCCAAGCGGGCTGTCATGTGCCTTTTACTGAGGAGTGGATTCCGTTTGGCCACTCTATCATAAAGGCCTGATTGGTGGAGTGCTGCAGAGATGGTTGTCCTTCTAGAAGGTTCTCCCATCTCCACAGAGGAACTCTAGAGCTCTGTCAGAGTGAACATCGGGTTCTTGGTCACCTCCCTGACCAAGGCCCTTCTCCCCTGATTGCCAAGTTTGGCCGGGCGGCCAGCTCTAGGAAGAGTCTTGGTGGTTCCAAACTTCTTCCATTTAAGAATGATGGAGGCCACTGTGATCTTGGGGACCGTCAATACTGCAGAAATGTATTGGTACCCTTCCCCAGATATGTGCCTCGACACAATCTTGTCTCGGACCTCTACGGACAATTCCTTCGACCTCATGGCTTGTTTTTTTTTCTGACATGCACTGTCAACTGTGGGACCTTATATAGAAATGTGTATGCCTTTCCAAATCATGTCCAATCAATTGAATTTACCACAGGTGAAGTTGTAGAAACATCTCAAGGATGATCAATGGAAAAGGATGCACCCGAGTCTCATAGCAAAGAGTCTGAATACTTACGTAAATAAGGTATTTCTGTTTTTGATTTTGAATACATTTGTAAACATTTCTAAAAACCTGTTTTCGCTTTGTCATTATGGGGTATTGTGTGTAGATTGATGAGGATTTACATTTTTAAAAATACATTTTAGAATAAGGCTGTAACGTAACAAAATGTGGAAAAGGGGACGCGGTCTGAATACTTTCCGAATGCACTGTATACACAGACACAGCCTCAAAGTGAACAGTATGTTAACACTAAAGCACATTTTGGGGCTGATTCGCACTAGCTAGGTTTCCATCCAATTGGTGACAGACTTTCATGTGAAAATCCTAAAATCTGCATAAAAACAATATGCACATTTTCTCACCAGAGATGTGTTTGCATCAAAACATGACTTATTTCGGATAAAAGGCTGTGCGTGATGACATAGTGAATAAAAAATACAAGTTAAATGGTTTTATAGGTTATATATTGTGAGCTTTTGTGAAAGAGCACAGTTAGAAAGATATGGCATATAGAAGCATACCAGATGGACATCATGAAAATGATCGGAGGAAGTTCAGGAGTAAAAACAAACAAAATATAATTATTGACTGTGTCCATAAAATGTATATAGTATGTATAAGCATGAAGTAGAGGCCTAAGCATTGTTGTTCACTAGTTTACTCCAATTAGGGAGGGGATGGTGGGGTTGGAAAGTAATAAAGGGAAATATATATATTTTTAAAGGATAGATATATATATATATATATATATATATATATATGCGAGAGAGAAAAAAGTAAAAACATATGGGGGATTGGAAGTGATGCAGACAATTACACTGATGGAAGTTACAATCTATCTGCAATATTAAAGCTGATCTATCCCCTACATTTTTTAAAACAAAATAAATAAATAATATATATATATTTTTTAAAAAGTTACATGGTTTTCCGTCGCATTTTCAATCCTACTGATGTTTTTTTCTCACAAAAAAGTGTGCCCACTCTGGTCTTGTCACATGCGCTCTAGCCAACAGCTGGCAGATACAGTACGGGTATAGCCTCCATCAGTGGTTCACAACCTTTTTCGGTTACTGTACCACCAACTGAATTTTGCCCTGTTCAGAGTACCCCTGGAGTACCTCCTCATGTGCATTTTACCATTAGGCCTATGATCTCAAGTACCCCGTGTGGATAGACCAAGTACCCCGTGTGGATAGACCAAGTACCCCGTGTGGATAGACCAAGTACCCGCAGGGGTCTTAGTACCCCTGGTTGGGAACCACTGGCCTACATGATGAGATTATTATGGACAAAAGAGCGAGATTATTTGGATTTGGTCGACCAGCAGCCGAGCATCGATCATCATGTAACCAGTATAAGATCCTCTATGTTTTTTGGAACTCTCATCCATCACCGTGCACTTTCATCACCCTGTGAAGTTAATCATAGCTTATTTCATCAGTAGCTTAATAAACTGCATGCTTTCCCGACGAGTCGTAGTGGGAGGACCACACAACATGTCATCGCGTGACTCCAAGTTTACTTCGATATGATGGTTATTATGTCAATATCTACGCACAAATGCGTTTCCACTGACATTTCTCGCATAATACATTTCACCGACACTTTTACTTGCATAAAAAGGTTAGATGTCAGCAATAGTTTAAGTGAATCGATGCATTCGCTAAGATCCCGTTTGACACGTTTTCTCTAACATTCATCCTACAGCAGTATACAGTTCCAGCCTACAGCAGCTTACCTCCACTCTTGAACTGACTGTTCCCCTTGTCCTTTAGTCTCATGCTCTCCTCTCTGCGGCTCTATTGCACAGTGAAAACAACAAACACACAAAACACATTGAGCTTTGTAATGTCAATTTACTGACCACCAAATGACGGTTGTAGAGTTTCAAATTGAGATTTTTTTTTTTTACTGAAAGCGTCATGTTAAGAAACTGAAACTGTCAAGTTCACCTCCTTTTCCTCCTCCGTCATGTCTTTCTCCACTTCTCTCAGATACTCCTCATCAAACTCAGGAGCGCTGTTGTCTTCTTCCTTCAGTTCAGTATCAGAATCTCCCCCTTCAACTGCCACACTCTTGTCTTCTTCTTCAGTGCACTCATCCCAACTTTCTTTTTCCTCCTCTTCTTCACCTCTCTCCCCCTCTTCATCTCCCAATAATGTAGTTATCTCCCCTGAAAACTCAGCTTCTTCTCCTAACTCTGCATTGACGTGTTCTTTCTCTGTGTTTGGTGAACATCCCTCTGCTGCCTGGCATAATGCTGGGGCTTCTGAACAGTCAGTCCTTCTTTGCCGGTCACCCATGGAGCCGTCTGCTCCATCCAGAGACTCCTCACAGTCAAAGAAGGCATCGTCCTCCTGCTCAGTACCCCTGTGGGCTGCAGTGCTTTGGCCGTCTGGACATTCATGCTGTTCAGATTCTCTCATAGCATTGGTCAGAGAGTTGGTCATCCTGTCAAGGAGTGCCTCAGACTCCTTGTCTGCTGAGGATTCCATTTAATTTTCTCCCTGTACAAAACTTCACATAAAAGTAGGAATTGCAGTCAGTTCTACATTCAGTCAATTTAACCTGTATCTCAGTTTAATCTTGGGATAGATTATGTCAATCACACTGCACTGAGATACCAGTGACCATAGAAATCATATTTTTCCCATGCTCTATCAATTCTGTGCCAGTGACATAGCTAGCTAGATCAGTCTTCTCGAGCTCTCAGTCAGAGAGGAAGGGAGAGGCCCAACTCAGCCGAAAATGTGGAATTTTTTTCATTGTTCCGCTGACCAAGCAAGGAGTTTTTGTATGGAGTGTTGAATTTGGTCAGCAAAAAAATGAATGTCTTATTTGCTAGATTATGTTTATTTGGTCTAATAGACGTTTCGTAATGCTTAAGTTGTTAGGAGTGTACTGATATAAGTAGGACATGTGACATCCCGGCAACTTTGAGTTGTCTCGAGATGGCTATGCATATTCATGTATTGGAGGTTAGTAGCATAGTCTCTCTCCATTGAACGCAGGCGGTTGACGTCAACAACCCTCATCGAATATTCAAAAAGGGATTACAATAATAAAGATGTATCCACCAATCCAAAGAAAGGATAGGCGGGAGCTAGACAGCCCCCACCGTGCCACTTTGTGGACGACTCCCATTGTTAAGGCAGAGAGACATGCATCTTGTCAGTATATCCATAATCTTTGTCTCGGTAGGTTCTGACCGTTCAGTTGCAAACTTGGCTAGCTAGCCTTGTCATGTTGGCTTGCTCTCCAACACAAAAGTAGTAGAGGCACTGCTTTTTACTGCTAATACGCTAGCGACATGTCAGATAACATAATAATAGCTACCATTAGGTTTGTTTATCTAGCAGCTAGCTTTATCCCAAACATGTTTAAAACTTCAGTGTTAAAGCTAGCTTTCTGGCTAGTCAGCTAATGTTAGCTAGCTAGCAGGAAAATGCTAGCTACCAGTTACAGACCCAAATGATACATATTGTGACATGTATTTTCTATGTTTTCTATATATTTGAATACTTGAAACTTAATTATGTATACACCAACGTAAAGATACACAAAAATAGTTCGTTTATGGGTATAATATGGCATATTTTCTACCTTGTAGCTACAGTCCTACCTCTACTCACGATGACATTTCCTCTATAAACATCTCTTCCGGCTGCTTATCAAATCAATACGAGGCTGAGGCACTCTGGGAGATGTAGTCATTCAGGAAACAGTTGGCTCAAAGAACATTTCACCCTCAACATAATCATTAAAGGCCCAGTGCAGTCAAAAACGTGATTTTCTTGTGTTGTATATACATTTCCACACTACATATTCGTCGCCAAACCCACTGGCTCCAGGCCATCTATAAATCACAGCTAGGCAAATCCCCGCCTTATCTTAGCTCATTGGTCACCATAGCAACACCCACCTGTAGTATGCGCTCCAGCAGGTATATCTCACTGGTCATCCCCAAAGCCAACACCTCCTTTGGCCGCCATTCCTTCCAGTTCTCTGCTGCCAATGACTGGAACAAATTGCAAAAATCTCTGAAGCTGGAGACTCTTATCTCCCTCACTAACTTTAAGCATCAGTTGTCAGAGCACCTTACCGATCACTGCACCTGTACACAGCCCATCTGAAATTAGCCCACCCAACTACCTCATCCCTATATTGTTATTTATTTTTGCTCATTTGCACCCCAGTATCTCTATTTGCACATCATCTCTTGCACATCTATCATTCCAGTGTTAATACTAATTGTAATTATTTTGCACTATAGCCTATTTATTGCCTTACCTCCATAACTTGCTACATTTGCACACACTGTATATATATTTTCTGTTGTATTTTTGACTTTATGTTTTGTTTTACCCCATATGTAACTCTGTGTTGTTGTTTTTATCGCACTGCTTTGCTTTATCTTGGCCAGGTCGCAGTTGTAAATGAGAACTTGTTCTCAACTGGCTTACCTGGTTAAATAAAGGTGAAATAAAATAAATAAAAAACTATGAGTTTGGAATAATACTGTGAAATTGTGAAATTATCTTTTAGAGCTGTTTGAAAAAAAAAAAGTCAGCCTTTTTGGTGGGATGGAGTTTTGGCCTGCATGGCAGTGGCGACCCGTCATTCAGGGCAGGTGGGGAAGAGCCTCACCTGTTCAGCAAAAAAAAAAAAGATACAAATAAATTAATACAAGTTTTCCTGTTTTGCATGTTATTCTGGCATTCATTTGTGTCACATATCAGTTTGCAAACAATGTAAAAAAACAACAACATTCCTTTAGTTAATTAAGCCGCATACAAACATGGTCTCTTTATTGAGTAAGGCAGCTACAAAATGCAGGTGTTTTAGTCTAGCTCAGTGCTTTCTGTGGTGGAGGGGCAGCCAGCGAAAGCACAGAGCGTAGGCGTTGGTAATCTTCTCTAGTTGCGCCGTGATTGGCTCAGTGTTCTGTCACTCATGGTTGACACTACATCACTGCAGAATCTACAAGGAGAGCTAGGCAGTTCAATCCCCCTTGGGTGCTGCCATAGAGTTACATTAGAAGTGCCCTTCCAAGAAGGCTCAAGGTCATTGGCCACAGATAAAATTATGTCAAATCATGCTATATCTACTGTACAGTCGTGGTCAAAAGTTTTGAGAATGACACAAATATTAATATTCACAAAGTCTGTTGCCTCAGTTTTTATGATGGCAATTTGCATATACTCCAGAATGTTATGAAGAGTGATCAGATGAATTGCAATTAATTGCAAAGTCCCTCTTTGCCATGAAAATGAACTTAATCCCCAAAAAACATTTCCACTGCATTTCAGCCCTGCCACAAAAGGACCAGCTGACATCATGTCAGTGATTCTCTTGTTAACACAGGTCAGATTGTTGACGAGGACGAGGCTGGAGATCACTCTGTCATGCTGATTGAGTTAGAATAACAGACTGGAAGCTTTAAAAGGAGGGTGGTGCTTGAAATCATTGTTCTTCCTCTGTTAACCATGGTTACCTGCAAGGAAACACGTGCCGTCATCATTGCTTTGCACAAAAAGGGCTTCACAGGCAAGGATATTGCTGCTAGTAAGATTGCACCTAAATCAACCATTTATCGGATCATCAAGAACTTCAAGGAGAGAGGTTCAATTGTTGTGAAGAATGCTTCAGGGCGCCCAAGAAAGTCCAGCAAGCATCAGGACCGTCTCCTAAAGTTGATTCAGCTGCGGGATCGGGGCACCACCAGTGCAGAGCTTGCTCAGGAATGGCAGCAGGCAGGTGTGAGTGCATCTGCACGCACAGTGAGGCGAAGACTCTTGGAGGATGGCCTGGTGTCAAGAAGGGCAGTGAGGAAGCCACTTCTCTCCAGGAAAAACATCAGGGACAGACTGATATTCTGCAAAAGGTACAGGGATTGGACTGCTGAGGACTGGGGTAATGTATTTTTCTCTGATGAATCCCCTTTCCAATTGTTTGGGGCATCCGGAAAAAAGCTTGTCCGGAGAAGACAAGGTGAGCGCTACCATCAGTCCTGTGTCATGCCAACAGTAAAGCATCCTGAGACCATTCATGTGTGGGGTTGCTTCTCAGCCAAGGGAGTGGGCTCACTCACAATTTTTCCCAAGAACACAACCATAAATAAAGAATTGTACCAACACATCCTCCGAGAGCAACTTGTGGTCAATCCTCAAGAGGCGGGTGGACAAACAAAACCCCACAAATTCTGACAAACTCCAAGCATTGATTATGCAAGAATGGGCTGCCATTAGTCAGGTTGTGGCCCAGAAGTTAATTGACAGCATGCCAGGGCGGATTGCAGAGGTCTTGAAAAAGAAGGGTCAACACTGCAAATATTGACTCTTTGCATATACTTAATGTAATTGTCAATAAAAGCCTTGACACTTATGGAATGCTTGTAATTATACTTCAGTATACCATAGTAACATCTGACAAAAATATCTAAAAACACTGAAGCAGCAAACTTTGTGAAGACCAATACTTGTGTCATTCTCAAAACTTTTGACCACGACTGTAGCTTTGATTGGACTGATCATGTCAACATCATACTTTCAAAATCTTAGCAAGCTAGCTATCTAGACAAGCAGTCATCCTCATGAATCACGTCGACAATCAACTGGTAAATCCTTTTCAATCCTTGTCATATGAAGAGAAATTATGGATAAAACGTATCGATGCTCATCGGCCATTGGACATAAACATTGCACAACAAGTCGGAAATCGCAAATTCAACAATGAGTGGTTTGGAAGGAATAACTGCAAATGTTGCAAAGCAATCACTATTTTGATTTCCCTGCCTGCTATTCAGTGTAGAGGGTGTGTGGTCCAAGTCTGGGTTTAAGGATTTAAAACATCTGTCTGAAAGGGTCTCTTTTCCAAGCTTAAAAGGATAAACATTTACATGCAACACCATGGGCCAGAAAATGTTGATTACATTGGCCATGCTGTCAATCCAGCATGACGTCATCCGGAGAATGGCAGACTTTGATGACAAAGTTTGCCCACATGAAGGACCGCCACGCCACCTTCCTGTTCAAGTGAGCACAACACAACGATGGTGAGTCCCAAAATGTATTATATGCTGCTGCATCAATTATGCAATATGCCAGGGAGATATGTATACTGTAGCTAAGAAAGTAATACTAAGTGTATGTTGTGTAGTAAGCTGTTAGTAGCCCATGTGCCTCGCCCTAATAATTTGGTCCCTTTCCCCCTCATAACTTAGCCTACTGTTCTGACTTGGTGGTGCACATGTAGCCTATAACCTGTTTTAGAGAAATGTCATCATATCGTAAGAGCTTTCATAGTCTGCTTATATGCCCCCTTTATTTATCCTATGGTTCTGACTTGGTGTACAGGGAGAATACTGTAAGAACGGCCCCTGTTCTGAATTCTGTCGCAGTCCATTTCAAAAGTGCTGAACAAATAGGCATATCGACTACGTCCATCTTAATCAAAATTACGGCTTGCCTCTTATCCGTTCATCTTTCCCTTATGCCATAGTTTGTACATCTCAATTTTTACAGTATATTGCTTATATAGGTCTATCTCATTATTATGTTATTTATCATTTTAGGCAATGTTAGAATGATGCATTTAATTGTTTTGCTTACTTTGTGTATTATAATTAGCTCATGTGCTTTTCTCCACGAGAAAGCTCCACTGTTGTGACAGATTTACGTAGGCCCTAACAGTTTGTGGGCACCGTTTGTCACTGTTATAGTGCAATTAATGTATTGTTTAGTGTTGTGTTGTGTAGTGGCTTTGCTGGCATCCATAAAAAAAAAAATTGGTTGAGTTTGCCCCACCAAGATTTACATTCTAAAATTGCCACTGCTGCCTGGTGACATCACCAGGCAGTAAATTAGTTAATAGACCAATAAGAAAGAGAGTTCCAAACCTCTCTGCCAATAACAGCTAGTTTCCAGTGTTCCCCTCCTCACTCAGACCACTCCCAGACAGTGCTACCAAAATACTTGCTTCAGAAATTGCTCTTTGCTAAGAAGCTATTTTTGTTTCTTTTTGAACATTTTAATTGAAAACATCACAGTAAGGTACTTCATTGTTACCCAGAAATGATTTGATATTGAGAAACAACATTTAAAAAATGCTGCATTGGACCTTTTAAAAGAAACGATGAATCAGCATAATATATAGATCGAATCTAGTGTATATTTTTTTACTCTCTCTAACTAGCCATTCAGAAATCTCTGACATCAGTGTAAAGATTACATTCAGGCCATTGCAGGGTGGTGATGACCAATGGTCTTGGTTGACCTGACTAGTCTGGAGGCCAGCTAGTGGTCTGGCTAACACCTAACTCTCCCTGCGCTGTGAGTCACGTGGGTTGCATCAGCCAGGCTACCCAGCTAGTACTGTAACTCTAATACACCCAGCTAGTACTGTAACTCTAATACACCCAGCTAGTACTGTAACTCTAATACACCCAGCTAGTACTGTAACTCTAATACACCCAGCTAGTACTGTAACTCTAATACACCCAGCTAGTACTGTAACTCTAATACACCCAGCTAGTACTGTAACTCTAATACACCCAGCTAGTACTGTAACTCTAATACACCAGCTAGTACTGTACTATCCACTATATAACACCCAGCTAGTACTGTAACTCATACACCCAGCTAGTACTGTAACTTAAACACCCAGCTAGTACTGTAACTCTATCACCCAGGCTGTAACTTAATACCTAACACCAGTAGTAGACCAACCAGCTAGTACTGAATAAACACCAGCTAGTACTGTAACTTTAAGACAAGTCTCATGCATCATCATCAACAATCCAGAAAGATGGGGCTTGCTCCCCAAATCCAAATGCTGGTATCTTGTTTACAAATTATAAAAGTAGTGGGGCCATTTTGAGAGAGAGAAGAGAGAGATAGAGAGAGAGAGAGAGAGAGATGAGAGAGAGAGAGAGAGAGAGAGAGAGAGAGAAGAGAGAGAGAAGATGAGAGAGAAGAGGAGGAAGAGCTATGAGACAAGACTGATGATATGAGCGTAGATACTCGACTCTACGCTGAGAGACTGCGAACGCACGAGTCTATAGGTAGATGCTATCGCTCACCCTATACCTCTCTCCTCTCTCTCTCCTCTCTCTCTCTCCTCTCTCTCTTCCCTACCTCTCTCTCTCTCCTCTCTCTCTCGCCTCTCTCTCTCTCGCTCGCTCGCTCTCTCGAGAGAGATCTCTCATACTTTTTTTATTAAGATCACATGATGTGGACGGATTATATGTATGAAGTATCTTCAAAATGTGCTTTATTGCTGGCATAGAAACTTCTCTGACATTCTGTGCTGAACATCTATTGTCCACAGTATGCTGTATCACTGAATGGATAAGAGTCATATTTGCAGAGGGGATGTGTGTTCTTGACCCTGTGTTAAACATCCTGCCTTGACCTCTGCTGCATATGCTTTCATGCTGCCGTTGGACAGACTGTGCTGAAGATCCTTATTTGTTTCAAGATGCTACCAAATTCTACAACAATCAGAAAAACAAGAAACATGTTGTAATGCCACACTTAATAAGGAGCTTGTTTTATGCTCCTGGCCTTTCTCACCGATGCTGTTGCTTGCCCACAATAAAATACCCTTGATGCTGAAATGTGTAAAGATTTGTTCCATTCCTTTAAAAGGAGGGTGTTATGTATGTAACTTTCACTTTAATAATGCAACTGAGATAAGATGAGGAACACCAAGGAACATTCATAAATCACGTTTATTTAACCTCTGCACTCAAAACCATTTACAAAAGAACATCATGTACAACAAAGCCATTTCTTTAGACACAAATCACCTCTGTGTTGTCTTATCTGTGTCTTAACAGAATGTACAGTGAGTGGTAGGAGTTATGGGGTGGACCAGGGAGCCTGTGTGTGTGTGTGTGTGTGTGTGTGTGTGTGTGTGAGGTGGACCAGGGAGCCTGTGTGTGTGTGTGTGTGTGTGTGTGTGTGTGTGTGTGTGTGAGGTGGACCAGGGAGCCTGTGTGTGTGTGTGTGTGTGTGTGTGTGTGTGTGTGTGAGGTGGACCAGGGAGCCTGTGTGTGTGTGTGTGTGTGTGTGTGTGTGTGTGTGTGTGTGTGTGTGTGTGTGTGTGTGTGTGTGTGTGTGTGTGTGTGTGTGTGTGTGTAATGGAGTAGTATATTATGACATTTCCGTTTCACTTGGTTATAGTCACCATAGTGGGATAAAACATCTTTAAAAAATAAAATGTTTTGTCTGAATTAAGATTGATACGTTTGAATATGACTACATATTTTCAAGAGAGCATTTAGGGCATTTGAGTTTACAATATCCTTAAATGTACTGTAGATACATCTGAACAGCCACTGAGCATCTTTAATTTCAATTTAATTTAAGATTTATTTTATTTGTCAACATAGTTATGTTGTTTCTGCACTGTCCCTCTAAATTGTTTGAGATTAAAAGTACATTCCCCTTTACATAAAACAACATTTCTATCACCACCTAAATTGTAATAAATAAACATAAATCCCAAGTTTAGCAGATGTGAGCTACAAACGCTGCTATAAGACACTGTATATCAAGATACACCACATGCTATACATACCTAAAAATGCATTTTCAATATTACATTACACAGTGGTTGTTATGGAATGTTGCAAATACATTCATAAATTGAGAGACCAAACCCAAATGCACACTGGGATTCATGTCAATAATTAACTTGAATGATCTCAACACAATGCTTTCAATAGCCATGACTCCAGAAATGTTTCACCAAACATACAAATAGAACAAATACATTATGACAACAAGGCTATGTTTTACCCTCAAAGAATTGTAGAGACGTCTTTTATATGTCTGTTGCAAATGCAGAGCAGTGCTACCAAAGTCAAAACGTGGGAAAAGTTGGTCCCTTTTTCACGGGGTCTTTCAAGGGCCTAGGTAGTACAGTATGTGACAGAGCTGCACACATTGTTCTGAAAAATGTTTTGTGCAGTAGCAGAGGCCTTCAGTGTTCTGTCTAAAATTGTCCAAAAGACCTATTGATGATGACATCTGGAGGACATGGAACAACAAGCAACCAGATTCTTAGTAATAAATACTGAGGGACACATTGTGATGTGTACACCTTCAATCCATACTGCTACAGTAGTTAGGTTACTGTCCATATTGCATTTAGACATTCACAATGATCCAATGTATAGTCTCTAAAAAAAAAAGCTCTTTGCTAGTCTCATGTCAGCATAAGCACAGACTATCAAACAACATTGTCCAGGCTTATGACTGGTGCCCCACACTGCCATTACATAATTGTCTCAGGCGTTGCCCTGATTGATCCATGCTCCACCTCTCCATTCTTACTCTGTCCATTGGCATGCACTGGCTCCCTGGCCAGGGGGGAGACCAGGTGGACTCTGCTGGTTCCGCTGGTGCTCTGGCAGAAAGCCCCAGGGAGGGCCCTCATCTGGCCAGTGAAGGGGCTCCCACCAGGCAGAGACGGGCAGGAGGATGGGGAGTGGAGGTCGATCCCAGGCTCCAGCCGAGAGCCGGCCCCTTTGCTGACACAGCGAGGGCTGGGGTTGATGGAGGACAGGGTCTGCTGACTCCCATTGAGGTAGGAGCTATTGGTGGAGCCCAGGTGGGAGGAGTGGTGGTTGTAGTAGGCCCTCCAGCCCTTCTGCTTCTTCTTCTGACGGCAGCGGCACTTCAGGATACGGATGAAGGCCTGCTTGAACTCTCGGCTGTAGCAGGGGTAGATGATGGGATTCAGGCAGCTGTTGAAGTAGCCCAGCCAGAAGATCACCTTGAAGAACGTCTCCGGGGGACGCAGGTTGGCGTTAAACGACCCTGGGAGAGTACATGGAGAAAACATGTTATCAATTGAGAGCTATTTAAAAAATAACTGTTATTATATATATTTTATACATTGCTTTTTTTAATGACACATAACTTTACATTTGAGAAATTAAGATGTGGTATGTACTGTGGTGGTAGAAATAATTGATCTGAGACAACAATGTAAACGCTGAACCATCTCTTCAATCCATTCATTTTGGCGATCAAGAGATGGCAGCATTCATCAAAAGAACCTCACAGAAAGCCAATGTGCCAGCAATTATCACCAGCATCCTCCTCTCGCTCCACACCACTGATCTAGAGTGACGGGAAAGGTGAAATATAGGCTTGGTGGGGTTTCAATCTCTATGCTTTCACCTTCCCAGACCTTTCAGATCAATGATCAGCGACAAAGGAGATGAGATGAGAAAACGTTTTAGAGAGTGCAGGCTGTTTTTTTTTTATTCAACTCTTTACTGCACTTGTGATTGTTTGTCTGCTGGTATTATTGAAGCGTCATATTTTCGATAGAACTTAAGACAAAAGTATTTATTATATTTAATCAACACATTATTTCAAGCACGAAGGGCACATTCTATTGTGTGTGATACGACACACCTGCCTCAAGCACCTGATATACACAGGCCCCGATAACAGAGATATGGAGATTGGTGGGTCTCCAACGCTTACAATGGCTACACAGTGATTCCAATGACTACCATCTTGGTGCTGATTCTATTGTCTTGGCTGTTTCCTGTTTTGGAATGTTTTAGATAGAGAAAGATAGCGTCACTCACTGACTGCTCTCATTGTTACTGTACTATGGTCTCCTTAACCACTGAGGTCAACTCTACTGACCTTACATGAGCCTTCACTGATTCTGAATAAGCTACTGAACCTTGAATATGAAAGAATAAAAGTTGTAAAACAGCAAATGTTGAAAAAGTTAAAGTAAGGCAGGATTTACAAGCAGCCTCACATCCAATAAAGAATTCATTACAGTAAGCAATGCCACTTCTGCGCTGACATGATACAGTATCCGTTTCAGAGAAGCACTTTCTAGATTTTCATCTTTACTGTCTCCAGCTCATAAACAAAGGTCACAGACGTCCATCATCATTCCAAAGTCTTCCCAATTTTACAGGCACACTAATCCCAGAGGCTTTCACTGCTGGGAGTCCACTGTTTTACTGCCCTTGCACTCCTCCCCTGTTGCACATCTCATCCCTTTTTTGGCCTTTTTGGACTCAGCATTGTGGGTACTCATCCACTTTGGTATGTCCTGCCACAGAAGCCCTGGCTGTCACGTTATTGGATGAAAAGATGTGGCATTCCATAATTTCTCTCTTTAGACTTCGGGATGGAGAGATGTTTAACAAGAGTTATTACTGTGTTTTCTCAGAATAGAACCATGGCTCATAGAACCATCTAATTCAAGGACACATTTGTAATTTCTCAGCCTGGCCCTAGGAGAGACTGTGGTTACACTGTAGCCTTTTCCTACAGTTAAATGACCTAGTGGCCCCATGGGTGGATTGTTATTAATAATCTTCAAAATGTCATAATTCATTGCTTTTTTTTAAAGGCCGAAAATCTGGTGTTTCTATGTCAAACGGTTTTGTTATATTTCAGTCTTCTGTGATGTATAAAAGTGTAATATTGGGATGGAAACTCAAAATATAACACATTTCAACGCTATATCTGACATGGCACAGGTGTCTTTGTTTTTTAAGGCCATAACTGTGTTTGAGGTGTATACTTTTGTTTCAAAGTAGATTTGTTTAAGACCAAGAAACACTGTGTGACCCTGATTTAGCCCACTGCAGTAAAAGAGCACAGGAGACATCTGATTTCCTATAGGTTGGAGAGATAATTATCTAGTCTATGTCTTCAGAGGGACTCAGTGGTAGCATTTCTGACCAAGAAACACTGTGTGACCCTGATTTAGCCCACTGCAGTAATTAATAATGTGCTACTGGCTGGGGTTGTTTTCCAGTGCCAGGTGTTCAGTTCTCCAGCACAGTTCCACACACTTGATTATGATAGAATAGGCAAGGAATCTATGAAAGACCCTGAGATCTACCTTGGAAATAAATACCCTTGGACCGCTCCTCATACACCCATGAATGGACAAAAGCATGGAGTACAGTGCCTTGCAAAAGTATGCATCACCCTTGGCGTTTTTCCTATTTTGTTGCATTACAACCTGTAATTTAAATGGATTCTTATTTGGATTTCATGTAATGGACATACACAAATTAGTCCAAATTGGTGAAGTGAAATAACAAAAATTACTTGTCTCAAAAAATTCTAACAAATAAATTATGGAAAAGTGGTGCGTGAATATGTATTCACCCCCTTTGCTATGAAGCCCCTAAATAAGATCTGGTGCAACCAATTACCTTCAGAAGTCACATAATTAGTTAAATAAAGTCCACCTGTGTGCAATCTAAGTGTCACATGATCTCAGTATATATACACCTGTTCTGAAAGGCCCCAGAGTCTGCAACACCACTATGCAAGGGGCACCACCACACAAGCGGCACAATGAAGACCAAGGAGCTCTCCAAACAGGTCAGGGACAAAGTTGTGGAGAAGTACAGATCAGGGTTGGGTTATAAAAAAATATCGGAAACTTTGAACATCCCATGGAGCACCGTTAAATCCATTATAAAAAAATGGAAAGAATATGGCACCACAACAAACCTGCCAAGAGAGGGCCGCCCACCAAAACTCACAGACCAGGCAAGGAGGGCATTAATCAGAGAGGCAACAAAGAGACCAAAGATAACCCTGAAGGAGCTGCAAAGCTCCACAGCGGAGATTGGAGTATCTGTCCATAGAACCACTTTAAACTCGTAAACCATGTAAACTCCTCAGAGCTGGGCTTTACGGAAGAGTGGCCAGAAAAAAAGCCATTGCTTAAAGAAAAAAAATAAGCAAACACGTTTGGTGTTCGCCAAAAGGCATGTGGGAGACACCCCAAACATATGGAAGAAGGTACTCTGGTCAGATGAGACTAAAATTGAGCTTTTTGGCCATCAAGGAAAACGCTATGTCTGGCGCAAACCCAACACCTCTCATCACCCCAAGAACACCATCCCCACAGTGAAGCATGGTGGTTGCAGCATCATGCTGTGGGGATGTTTTTCATCGGCAGGGACCGGGAAACTGGTCAGAATTGAAGGAATGATGGATGCCGCTAAATACAGGGAGATTCTTGAGGGAAACCTGTTTCAGTCTTCCAGAGATTTGAGACTGGGACGGAGGTTCACCTTCCAGCAGGACAATGACCCTAAGCATACTGCTAAAGCAACACTTGAGTGGTTTAAGCGGAAATATTTAAATGTCTTGGAATGGCCTAGTCAAAGCCCAGACCTCAATCCAACTGAGAATCTGTGGTATGACTTAAAGATTGCTGTATACCAGCGGAACCCATCCAACTTGAAGGAGCTGGAGCAGTTTTGCCTTGAAGAATGGGCAAAAATCCCAGTGGCTAGATGTGCCAAGCTTATAGAGACATACCCCAAGAGACTTGCAGCTGTAATTGCTGTAAAAGGTGGCTCTACAAAGTATTGACTTTGGGGGCGTGAATAGTTATGCACGCTCAAGTTTTCTGTTTTTTTTGTCTTATTTCTTGTTTGTTTCACTATAAAAAATATTTTGCATCTTCAAAGTGGTAGGCATGTTGTGTAAATCAAATGATACAAACCCCCCCAAAAAAGTCAATTTTAATTCCAGGTTGTAAGGCAACAAAATAGGAAAAATGCCAAGGGGGGTGAATACTTTCGCAAGTCACTGTAAAAGGTCATGTCCGAAGCCATATTTAAAGAGGACCTAAGAGGCATGCTAGTCAGTGGGGCCCTACTGTATGAGGGCCCTGGCATTCCAACTACATTACTCTAGAAGCATAAGGGACCCATCACCATCATATCACGCTCGAATTACAGCTCATTGGAGAATTTGGGTTGGTTAGTTAACTAGTCTGAAACCTTCTGGGGAAACATCTATTAAATATGGTGGGAATTCAATATTATTGTCCGTACACTCTTAGAAAAAAATATGCTATATAGAACCTAAAAGGGTTCTTCGGTTGTCCCCATAGGATAACCCTTTGAAAAAACGTTTTTGATTCAAGGTAGAACCCTTTTGGTTCCATGTAGAATCCTTTACACAGAGGGTTCTACATTGAACCCAAAAGAGTTCTACCTGGAACCAAAAAGGGTTCTACCTGGAACCAAAAAGGGTTCTCCTAGGGGTCCAGCCAAAGAACCCTTTTGGAACCCTTTTTTCTAAGAGTGTATAAATTCAACTGTAACCTTGGCAAAACAGTAAATGTTGGTTACATAACATGGAAAGCAACAATCAATCGAGGAGCAATATCTTTAGAATGTAATGTTTCAGTTCATCTGGTGAGTTCTGCGAGTTCTATCCTGATCACCATCATCTGTGTTTGATTGAACAGATGTTTCCTGTTTCTCCCACAAAATCTGTCCTTGTATTGTTCACCACCGCCGCCTGAGGACAAGGTGTAAGATACAGGCACACTAGATCACAGAGCACCATCGTTTGTAGTAACTACATCATGTTGGGTGACACTAACAAAACATGCCTTTGGCGGGTCAATGCAGAGACCTTGAGAATTGCATAGTTTATACTGGCAGTGAAAAGTGGCGCTATCGTCAAACACAATCTGCGAAAGCTTTCAAAAAGAGTATTTAAAATCCTGCCAGTTGCAATAGTCTGTCGAATGTGGACACCAATAATATTTGACCCAGCTATTTTGATCCAATTTGTCTGAGAGACTGGTCACACAGTAGGTTTATGATTAAGAACATATGAGTGAGTGCTTTGTAAGGACCCAATCATTTCCAATGAAAACACCATTTATGCCAATTATTACAGTTAATATCTTGGGCTTTATTGCATAACTGAGATAACAACTGCTCTCCATCTCCATACCTCAAGTAAATAATAATAGGTGAAGTAACAGATTACGTCATTTTGAATATAATGTAGATGATATATTCACTGATATACTGGTAGTCTGAAAGCATTTTTAATATAATGTACTGTAGATTATATATTCACTGATGTACTGGTAGTCTGAAAGCATTTTTAATATAATGTACTGTAGATGATATATTCACTGATATACTGGTAGTCTGAAAGCATTTTGAATATAATGTACTGTAGATGATATATTCACTGATGTACTGGTAGTCTGAAAGCATTTTGAATATAATGTACTGTAGATGATATATTCACTGATGTACTGGTAGTCTGAAAGCATTTTGAATATAATGTACTGTAGATGATATATTCACTGATATACTGGTAGTCTGAAAGCATTTTGAATATAATGTACTGTAGATGATATATTCACTGATATACTGGTAGTCTGAAAGCATTTAGAATATAATGTACTGTAGATGATATATTCACTGATATACTGGTAGTCTGAAAGCATTTTGAATATAATGGACTGTAGATGATATATTCACTGATATACTGGTAGTCTGAAAGCATTTTGAGGGCAGAGAAAGTAAAGACAGAGCTATTCAAGGCTCATTGTTGCTCCCAGAACACATAACACATATATCAGACATCCTATTCCAAAAACCATAGGAGGGGGAAATTACAACCAGCGTCAGGAAAGCAGTAATCCTTCAAACCAATTACATTTTTATTATCTTTAATGTCCCTGAGCCTCTGGAGGAGGGTCCAACAGGATGCCAGCTGTGCGGTACACACAAAGACACGGACATACGCCTCGGACTCATTTGGCTACTATGAAAAATGTATGCACTCACTAAACTGTAAGTCGCTCTGGATAAGAGCGTCTGCTAAATGACTAAAATGTACCAATAAAGCGTTGTCTTATTTTGCACCATCAATTACACTGTGTGATCTTCACTGGCTGTCACCCCTCTACACAGTGCTTCCACTTCCATGGTGTGGCCAGGCTAGGTCACTGCTCTGCCTCAGTGCGTATACGTCTCCATCTCTGTCACCCACACAGCCTCATTGTCCATATTACACCCTGATGAGGCCTCAGGAAACAAAAGGGAGCCTCAATTGGACATTACCACTCTGGGTAATTTGAGCAGAGCCAAATAACCTGATTATCGCCACAACACCTGACCAAATAACCTGATTAATCGCCACAACACTGACCAAATAACCTGATTATCGCCACAACACTGACCAAATAACCTGATTATCGCCACAACACCTGACCAAATAACCTGATTATCGCCACAACACCTGACTACATAACCTGATTATCGCCACAACACCTGACCAAATAACCTGATTATCGCCACAACACCTGACTACATAACCTGATTATCGCCACAACACTGACCAAATAACCTGATTATCGCCACAACACTGACCAAATAACCTGATTATCGCCACAACACCTGACCAAATAACCTGATTATCGCCACAACACTGACCAAATAACTTGATTATCGCCACAACACTGACCAAATAACCTGTATATCGCCACAACACTGACCAAATAACCTGATTATCGCCACAACACCTGACCAAATAACCTGATTATCGCCACAACACTGACCAAATAACCTGATTATCGCCACAACACCTGACCAAATAACCTGATTATCGCCACAACACTGACCAAATAACCTGATTATCGCCACAACACCTGACCAAATAACCTGATTATCGCCACAACACTGACCAAATAACTTGATTATCGCCACAACACTGACCAAATAACCTGTATATCGCCACAACACCTGACCATTTCTGTTATCTCACGCACGGTGTGGACTGACCGATATCAAGCTCGAAAAAAGAGATTTCAGGATTTATTTATGTGATAGACAAAACTGAGTATTATCAATAATTGACAATATTTGATTCTTTTTGTAGCTATTTATATAGTCTCATGCCTAGTGATATAGGGCTATTGATGTTTTACTTTAATGTTTTATTGCTTTATTTGCATCTACATGAGCTTTTGTTGAAGCAGCAGCTATTCTTCCTGGGGAAGAAAACAAACACATAAAACACAACAAGTAACCAAATTACAGATACACTGATAGACAAGGACAGTCACACAAAATATAAAATATAAAATATATACAAACAATACAACTAAAGAATAATGTGTGTGTAGATTGTGTGTGATAGAATGTGACAGTGTGTCTGGTTGTGTGTGTCATTTCTTTACAAAATTCTGGTGCCACTGGCTGGAAAACATGGTATTTCTCAATCTTAACATTTTTGGCAAGTTAATTCATGGAAAAGTTAATATTTTGATAATAAAAGGAAGTTGTATTTTAATGTAATACCCTACATGTTTTGGCATGGGTACATACTGCTTCTGATTAAACCCTTTTCTGCCTAACCAGATTATTTCATTTTTGACACCACTATCATCAGAATTTGGGAATTATGAAAACTCTATATTGTTGGCATACTGTATGTGATTTTTTAAAATTATATGTGTGTGTGTGTGTGTGCGTCAGAGAGAGGGAGAAAGTGTGTGTGTGTGTGTGTGTTTGTGTGTATCTCTGCGTGAGTGCTTAAGGGCTTAAACACTTGGGTTGGAGGACACTAGCAGAGAATAGACTGTTCGGTTAGATGCTGTCCTTTCATGTCACACACATACACACGCACGCACGCACGCACGCACACACACGCACACACTCAAGGTTTATTTGCAAAACAACATGTATGGGTTCAGTGTCATATCTATCCAGCAGGTATGGGGTTCAATAAAACCTAATACAACTAGGGGGAAATTGTGACAAAAGTTTGCTAAAAAAATACTCCAAACCTACCAATGGGCAGCACGAGGAAGAATGGCAGCCAGCAGAGAATAAACATGCCCACCACCACACCGAGAGTCTTAGCAGCTTTCTTCTCTCGGGAGAACTTGAGCAGTTTCACGGTCAGAGTGCTCCGCGCCTGGCCTTTGCCCGTGACGCAGTATTCCTGCAGCTGTGCGTTTTTGCAGTGGATCCTGAGCGTGAGCTCATTCGAGTCCATGCGTTCTTTCATGACCCCCGCCTCCAAGTTCTTAGTGGTTCGTTTGGCAACTACATAAACCTGGCAGTACATGCACAGGATGACAGCCAGAGGTATGTAAAATGAACCCAGGGAGGAGAAGAGTGCGTAAAAGGGCTCTTCGGTGATGGGGCAAATGGTGTCATCATTTGAGGGTGGTTGTTTCCACCCGAGCAGAGGTCCGATGGAGATGACAGTGGCGAGAACCCACACACCGAGCATGGCCAAAAGGGCTCTTTTCTCCGTTACTATACAGGGGTACTGCAGTGGGTAGCGCACGCCTATATAACGGTCTATGGATATTACGCACAGGCTCATGATGGAGGCCGTGCAACATAGCACGTCCACTGCTGCCCAGATGTCACAGAAGATCCTCCCGAATACCCAGTAGTCGAGAATCTCCAGTGTTGCGGACACGGGCAGCACTGTGGTACCCAGCAACAGGTCCGCAATGGCTAGGTTGATAATGAAATAGTTCGTTGGGATACGCAGGTGTCTGTTGCACACAACGGAAAGTATTACGAGTATGTTGCCCACGATTGCGAATAGAATGAAAGCGCCCAGAACCATACCAACTGGCACGGCTCGGGTAAGGTCCAGCGGATTCGTGTGTGTGTAATTGGCCGTGGTCAAATTGGAATTATTTGCAGACAACGGTCCCGGTGTCTCCGTGTACAGCTCCGCCGAACCGTTACTCCAGAAGTTGGCATCATTAGCAGTATCAAAACTCATGTTGATGACCCAGTTCCTCCATAACAGATAACTGTAAATCCATGGATCAACACGGACACATTGTTTATTTTGTTAAATCACCAGTATTCTTCATTTCAAGTGGCTTTAGAAATTAAAACAAAAAAACTGCTCGAAAAAGCTCAATGACCTTTTATAGTGTGGTTCCATAATCCCCTGATGTTTCCCGGAAAAGTTAAGTCTCGTAACACAAGATTATATCACTTTAACCAGCTGCTGCAGTCGTCGTGACTGTCGCCTCTCACTCCGTTCTCTCCTCTCTACTCTGCAGCGTTGCCACCGTGGTGATACAAGCTGTTGAAACGCAGCGACACCACCTACTGAACCCTCCCGCATCCATGCGCACAAGATACAACCTTTCCTCCCCTTTCTGCACTGACCTAAACATATTGGCACAGGACGTTATCTGACATGCTCATGCCCTCACAAAATTGTTTCCAGGACTGACCAATACGGGAACCCTGAAACTGATAGCACAGGGCTATATCAACCGGTAATTTAAATCACAGGCCATATGCAATAGCATGTGCCATCAACACGCTAATTCACACCAATTATTCTAGGATCTTTCTATGGTGCTTTCAAGACAAGTGGGAAGTCGGAGATTTCCGAGTTCCCAGTTGTTTTGAACGCTGCTAGAACCCTAAGCAGTATGTGTCAAGGCCAGCTCGACAACAACAAATTGTTGCATTGCTATAGTAAGGACTACAAATCAAATCACTAACCTGTAGGCCTACTGGTGATTACACATATGATATACACTGAGTGTACAAAACATTAGGAAGACCTTCCTAATATTGAGTTGCATCCTCTTTTGCCCCCAGAACAGCCTCAATTCGTTGTGGCATGTACTTTACAAGGTGTAGAAAGCTTTCCACAGGGATGCTGAACCATGTTGTCTCCAATGCTTCCCACAGTTGTGTGAAGTTGGCTGGATGTCCTTTGGGTGGTGGACCATTCTTGACACACATGTACAAACTGTTGAGCGTGAAAAACCCTGCAGCGTTGCAGTTCTTGACACAAACCGGTGCGCCTGGCACCTACTACCATACCCCGTTCAAAGGCACTTAAATCTTTTGTCTTGCCCATTCACCCTTTGAATGGCACACATACACAATCATGTCTCAATTGTCTCAAGGCTTAAATATCCTTATTTAACCTGTCTCCTCCCCTTCATCTACACTGATTGAAGTGGATTTAACAGGTGACATCAATTAGGGATGATATCTTTCACCTGGATTCACCTGGTCAGTCTGGGTCATGGAAAGAGCAGGCGTTCCTAATGTTTTCTACACTCAGTGTAATTATTGTCTTATAAGTAGGCTACAATCTACGCAAACTTAATGCGCAATTTATTGTGATTAAATAATTTAGGCTACACTTTGGATATCGTTTAGGGACCATTACGCACAGCCTACACCCGAAAATTAGACCTTTATAATCATTCAAACTACTTTCTGTTCAGTGTTGGGGAAGCTACTCTGAAAATATGCTTTACCAAGCTACCAACTACTTCACACTGGAAGAAGTTAAGCTACACTAAAGCTAACCTTAAGAAAAATATAGTTACCTAAGTAAAGTTACTTTGAAAAAGTAGTTCACTACAGACAAACTACTTTGTGATAAATTATATCTAAATCTGAAATGTCATAGACTACAAATTGCAAGATCACTCTGGAGTCAGATGTTAACGGAATGTGCAATTTAGCATATTAAACACAAAAAACAGTTTCAAGTGAGAATTGGGTAGGTCTGATGCCGAAAAGTAAAATACAATTAATTATAGCCTACTTCACCCATACTGTAAAAAAAGACAGTAACAAATGCTACATAGAATACAGTAGCAGTTCACTTACTGTATTTGTGAACATTCAAAATAGAAACCACACAAAAACCACACGGGCAACAAAATCAAAGCACATCCTCTGAAGCAAGAGATAGTTGCAAACTATTATTATAATTATAATATTTTATTCTTAGTTTTGTTATTTTATATGTATTGCTTTGTTTGTGGCCGTGCTGTTTTATATTATAGAAAAAAATATACAATCAGAAAGGCACATCATAAATAAATCATTTTCCATTGTTAAAAGTAAACCAAGCAGCACACAAAATAGGAGCTACATGTAAAACGCAGGGCCCTTTGTGGAAATGAGGTGAATTGCAACATGACTTAGCCTGAACTCAAACAACTCTCCCCCTCCCCTCCTCCACCCCTACAATAGATTACACTACCAGTAATAGCGCCTTCAATGGATTACAGTAATGGCATTGGTACCATAAAACTGTTTTGTTTACGGTAACTTACTGGCAGCCAGTTACCTGTAAGTTACTGTAAAACAACGGCAATCATTATCATGATCATATTTCCCAGCTGCTCTACTGCAGGTAGAATTTTTTAAAATTGTCTTTAATATCTGTGTATTTTTATTGATTGATTCATCTTATGCTACAAAAAGATAAAGAACATGTTTCTAAACTAATTCAATCAGTTAGTTAGATTTTTTGCAGCCGTTAGTGAAATGCTTGTTCCAGTTTAAATGGCTTAGGTAGTCACCTCACAATGTTCCTAACCCTGACAGTCATTCGGAATGCAGGTTGCAGGTGAATACATTCCAACTGTTGGATATCCTAACTTGGGCTGGATTCCAAAAGGAATTACACATCATTTTGCAAGCCAGCATAATGTGACTTGCAGGTAGGGTTGCAAAATTCTGATAACTCTCCCCAAATGTCCAGCTTTTCCATAAATCCCGGTTGGAAGACTCCTGGAAACTGGAGGGAATAAGCAGGAAATCCAGAATCCTTCAACCAGATTTTCTGGAAATTCTGGAATTTTGGGAACGTTACCGGAATTTTGCAACCATACTTGCAGGCCTGAGGTAAACCATGAGTTTCAGGCCGCTGTACTAGGGTAAAACTAGGCCCTCAAAGGCCTTATGAAATAGATATTGTATTGTGTTAAAGATGACATATTCGCTGAGGATCTCACTTGGTGAAGGCCACAGCCCTGAACATCGATGAGTGCAACAACCATGTCTCTGTCACTAACACAGTAATGGGTGGTAACTCTACAATTCATTCGAAAGGCAAGCCACTCTGGGAAATATGCAAATAAGGCTTTACAGTAAGAGTATGTTACCATAAAAAGACTACAGTAGCATTATTGGTAGTGTAAATCAATTACAGTAAAGTATTGGATACCGTAAAATATGGTATGGTAACATACTGTTCTCTTTTTTCTTTGTTTAATTTTTTTACAGTAACTTACAGGTAACTGGATGCCAGTAATTTACTGTGAAAACAACAGGATTTTTTTGACAGTGTATATTACATTTTTTCAAAAAGAGTAGTGTGTAGTTCCAGTATTTAACAAAAAAAATTATTTAACTACTGAAAACACGACCTAGATTAGAATTTTTTTATTTGTCATTTAGCAGACGCTCTAATCCAGAGCGATTTACAGGAGCAATTAGGGTTAAGTGCCTTGCTCAAGGGCACATCGACATATTTTTCACCTAGTCGGCTCGGGATTAAAACCAGCGACCTTTCGGTTACTGGCACAACGCTCTTAACCACTAAGCTACCTGCCTGCCCTAATTCACAGTAGGCACACACACACACACACAGTCTCTTGCAGGCCAAATATTATGTTTCAAAACAGATTATCTTTCAATTCTTTGTTATTTTCAGTAGCATTAGACACCTGGGATGTCTGATTTAATGCAAACACCTGGGAATGCTCCTCAAATAACAGGAAAATAAATTACAAAGTAACCTAAACTGATGTTTATTTTTATTTTTGTGTTTATGTTTATTTTCGATCATGGCTGTGGGCCCTTACAAAACTTGGATGAAAAACTATTTTGAGGGAGGTCTGATAAAAGTCTACACAACTACATTAAATGAAACTATAGGTTTACATCTTTGGTTGAAGCTAGAATCATTCAACAACAACAAAGCGTCTCCCCTCCTCTGTTTCACAAAAAATCTAAAAAGGTATGGGTCTGGAGAAATATAACCACTTTCAAATGTACAGACAGAGCTATGAATGCAAGGACTGACCGTCCACGATATCAACATGATAGTCTTTGGTAAACCGGGAGAAGAGAAGGCGGATTCCCCTGTGTGTCTAGGCCTACTGTAGTCCAGGCTTTCTACTGCAGTCCGTTTCTGTCCAGGCATTTTGCTTTATTGTTAGATAGCACTGCTAAACCCCTCAGCTCCCTAAGATCGATCCAATATGGCAACCTCTGCACTGGAGCCTAGGAACAGGGAAAGTTATGGATGGTGTGTGGGTGGGGGGGAGTCTGATGCATTTTGACACGGCAGATCAGTGCTGACCACAGTAGGAAAAACAAGCCAAGGCAACAGGCAATATACAGTACAGAGGCAGAATGGATGTAAATATTAAAACACACACACTATACATCATATTAAAACTCTTGATCTGTAGCCAAGATAATAAAAAAGATGAACACTGAAGTGAATTAAAGCGATTACGTTTTCCTCCCATCAACTCTACCGCAGGTTGATTAATGGGGGAGGGAGACTTCAGGTGATATATGACATCAGCCATAATGGCTGAGTGGGATTCCATGATGCAATCCTCCCACAGAGCAGAAGCCTGTCTGTACACTGAGAGCTACAAAGAGGGTTTGAAACACACAGCTGTATACACTCCACTTTAAAATCCCCCCCCCCCCCCCCCCCCCCCCCCACCCACCACCACAAACAAACAGTTTCCGATACTGAAAACCTTAAATGTTAATTTTCTGTTTCAATTTGAATTTATGAGTTAACTTTTTAGCTCACTTTATTCATTTGACCATGTCCTAAAGCACCCAGATGTTTCAGGCCTGGTCTTGGAGCTGATGCTTTTAAGAGGTTTTGTGTTTCTCTGTAAATATCATGAATGTCAGGGCGAGAGACTCCCAAATAGTAAATATGTCCAGCCCTACTTAGTAGACTTCTGTATGGGT